CTCAAAACATCATAGAAGACATATGAAACACACCGCGATGTCGCTATAAGTTCTTCACATGGTAGAAACACACATTTTATAAGGAAGCTGAGTGACGCCACAACACCATCTAGAGAGCGCGCCGTCACCCATGCTTTCCGGTCGGACACAGAATACTCAACTTTATAGCAAGCACCGACAAAAGTTCATGTAATCTTTATCAGTAAAACATCATTTCCCCGCAAGTTACTGAAACGAACAACCATAGCCGCCCAAGGGGTAGGAACCCTACAACCCATGAAAACTTGTGCGATTAACGCACGTAAAATTCATACGACACAAAACGTTATCTGTAATCACCGAACAGCAGATATACCAGCCAGAACGGCCTACCAAAACAAATTTGGACTCTCATACGGACCTACATACGTTCAGCAGTCGCCGCTACTTCAACAGTCTATTACGTTTCGCGTCTTATTACAAGTGTAAAACCGTCTTCCCCGCACAGCCCTCTCCCGATACTCGCAGTGTGAGTGGAGGTACGCCTAAAAGCGTACTGATCAAGCCACTCATAATTAAAGTGACGGAGGGGAAGAACCCTAACAACACCCTCTGCTAGGTATCGGTGGTGGTCCACGGGGTGAACTTTATTTTGGAATAATTCGGCGAAAAATCGCCGGAGGGAGCCCGGGTAAACGGCCAAGACTTTTACAGGGGGCACCGCTTATATTCCCCCCATCGGGAACATAAGCCCCCTCCCCCCCCAAAAGGGTTTTTTGCTGATATCTCAGCCGGATTTGGTCCGAGGGCTTCGGGAAAAAAAATTTGCCCTCCCAAATCCTTCTGTCCTGCCAGGCCGGCTGCGGATACGACCCCGAAGACCCGACCCCCCTAGCCCCCCCAGGGGCCGAGCTAGGATAGGGACAGCGTAACAGCGACTGATACCTCCGGATTCATTCTACTGTTACGCGCAACTGAGTCAAGGCGGGGCCGCGACACCAGCGAAGGGGGAACCTGACCCCCCCTCGCCATACAACCCATGTCGGGTGCTAGTATGGACCCTGTCAAGTCCTCGCTTGCGGACAAACTCATCGCCAGCAGCAACAAGGCCCAGATGACTCAGCCAGTGACGGAAACGTCGGAGGATCGTCTACGCGAAATGATTGACGCGGCGGAAAGCACGGAAAAGGAGTGGTTTGACAGAGTGGGCAGAAGGCTGAACACCGCACTCGAAGCCGTAAGGGAAGCTAAGAATGTGGCGAAACCCGTGCAAACGGCACTCGCTGAAGCCATGAACGCTTTCAACCAAGCGTGAAGCGCACGAAAACAGCGCCAGAACGTGGCGGAGAAGCTAAAGGACGTAGCGAGCAACGCGGAGCCCCACGCGTCAACCACGGGTGATGTACAGGCCGAAGACGGTAGCATAAACTTGACAAAAGAATTCAGTTCGCTGAGGGACGAAGTCGGCGAACTCAGCAAGGTGGTGAGAGAACTAGTTGACAAAAAGCTCTCCGACCGGGGGACTAGTAAAGAACCTACCATCCAGGAAAGCCAGCCCGGAAGCGTATTTACGGATGCTACTCGAGACTGGCCAATAGATCCCAAATTCAGTTAGGGTTCGTAAAACAAATTTATTTTACGGATACTACTCGAGTCTGGCCACTATGTAATATACCGCTATACTAAAATAAAGACTCAAAAAGTTCAATATGAAAGCAGGGCTATCTCCCAATATGCGGTCTACCTCCGTTTTGTGTGCTACGTAACTATAAACATGAGCATAGTATGCGGTCTATCAATGTTATGTGTTCTACCTATATAGCTGGGAACAAAAATGCAATTTTCTCAACCCTGTGACCCACTTGGGGAGGTGTTACACAGCAAGTCGGGGGATATTTTCGATTTGCGGAGCGGACGATGTTTTTTCAATCAATTGCATTTTTGTTGCACCGAGCCACCAATTTGAAAAAACATCGTACAGTGATGCGGTGCTAGCGGCACTCGTCGCTACGCTCCTCGGCGCCGTCGCTCCGCTCCGCAAATCGAAAATATCCCCCGACTTGCTATGCAACACCTCCCCAAGTGGGTCACAGGGTAATAAAAAATAAATTAAATTTTTTTTATACTTTAAATTATACTTTATTATACTTTTAATATTATTGTACTTTATTACTTTAATATTATTACGGTAGACCACGTCCATTTTGGTAGACCGCAGTGGCATAGTGGCCAGACTCGAGTAGTATCCGTAAAATAAATTTGTTTTACGAACCCTAACTGAATTTGGGATCTATTGGCCAGTCTCGAGTAGCATCCGTAAATACGCAGCCCGGAACATGGACAGAAGTGGTCAAGCGAAACAAAAAGGCGAAACCCGTGCCCACCGGGAAGTCCGACGATCGTGCACTCGCAATCAAGAACGTAACCGCCCGGCCTCGGGTGAGAGTGCGTCCGTCGGCGATCCTGATAGAGGCAGGTAAGACGACCGACTTCCCGGCGTTGGTTAAAAAACTCCGCGGCGGCGCCAACCGCGATGTCATTGGCGACCACGTCATTGGCATGAAGCAAACAAAAGCAGGAAGTCTGCTGATTGAACTAAAAGGAGATCAAGAACAGATCGAAGCTGTCCGAGCGGAAGTCTCGAGGTCAGCCGGCGATGACGTTGAGGTGAGATCCCTGCAACAAAAGACGATGTTGGAAATAAGTTACATAGATCAATGGTCTGACAGTGAGGAGGTAGCAGGCGCTGTGGCAGCAGCAACCGGAGTAGACCACGACGCGCTGAAGGTCGTAAGCGTCAGGCAACGGTTCGGCTGCACCCAGGCGGCTATGGTGTTGGTGCCTACAGCGGCGTGCCAAAAGATGATAGCGCTCGGCCGCATACGAGTCGGCCTGGTAAATTGCAGGGTCAGGCAGGGGGATCCGAGGATTAGGTGCTTCCAGTGCATGGCGCACGGCCACGAAGCACGGTCGTGCAAAGGCCCGGACAGGAGCAAGTGCTGTAGGCGCTGCGGCCAGGAGGGCCACTTCGCAAGCACATGTGAGGCTCCTCAGGAAGACGCCCTTTCATTTGCGAAATCGCTGGCGGCAACTAGCCGTGCTGGCAATGGCGACGAGAAGGCGACCGTTGAAAAGTGACACGCATTCTCCAGATAAACCTCGGAGTGTGTAGAGCTGCACAGGACCTTGCACTGGCAACATCTACAAATAGAAATATTGACATCCTAGTCATAAGCGAACAGTACCGCGACAAGGGAGAAGAAAACGGCTGGTACGCCGACGCGAGCGGGCGGTCAGCCATCGCAGTTCTGGGCAAGCTCCACGTAGACGTGATCGGACCGCGCCTTCAAGGCATCAGGTGGCTAGAGTTGAACGGGTTCCGCCTTTACAGCTGCTACTGCTCACCAAACATTCATTTCACCGAATTCGAGGTCTTCCTAGGGAGGTTGGAAGCGAGCATCCGCGAAGCACGGTGCCCGGTAATCATCGCGGGCGATTTCAACGCGAAATCGCACGAATGGGGCAGTCCCAGAGAGGACAAGAGAGGCAAAGCAATGGCAGATCTCGCAGCCTCACTAGGTCTAGTCGTATGCATCCAGGGTAAGGAGCCGACCTTCGTGAGGGGCGCATCGGAGTCACATAACGACCTTACATTTGTGTCACGCAACGCGAAGAGCCAAGTGCACGATTGGCGTGTAGTCGAGGAGGAAACACTAAGCCTACACAGATACATCGAGTACGCAATTGGAGCGCCTAGGAAAACAGCACCTGCGCAAAGGCAAAACAGATGGTCTTTTAGGAAACTTGATCAGGCGAAACTGGAAGAGGCACTAAAGTGTAATGCATACGCAACAACTAATGACGTCGAGGAAGCTTCCGACCAGACTATTGGATGGCTGTCAAAGGCATGCGATGCCAGTATGCCTAGATCAGGGCAATGCAACCGCCGACCTGTGCCATGGTGGAACACAGATCTTGCACAGCAGAGGAAGAAATGCTTAAAGGCACGCCGAGCATACACGCGGAAAAGGAAAAAATCGGACGAAAACGGTTGTATGGCTGAACGCGAATCCTTCCAACGCGAAAGAAAATCGCTGTCGACCATGATTCAGGCGGCAAAGGAGGATAATTGGAAACGGATATGCGAACTCGTAGACAACGACCCATGGGGCCTTCCCTACAAAATTGTAATGAGGAAGCTCAATATCAGGAAGCCGATCCCCGGCATTAACCTACCAGGACGCATGGACACCATAGTGGACAATCTGTTCCCCACCAGGGTGAACACTCCGAGGACAATCGTTGACGTCAGTTCAGAAGATCTCGCGCGGGCTTTTTTTGCACCGAGCGAGGTGGCAAGCATGGCGAAGACCCTTCCAAGCGGAAAGACTCCTGGACCAGATGGAATAGCCAACGAGGTGTTGAAGGTGGCCGTAAGACTATACCCCCAGCGTTTTTCGACGCTCTTTAACAAGTGTATCAGGAGTGCTGTATACCCTGCAGCCTGGAAGGTAGCAAACCTAGTGCTCCTTCGAAAACCCGGTAAAGCGCTGGACAACCCGGCAGCATACCGACCGCTGTGCATGCTCGACACAACGGGCAAACTCTTCGAAAAATTGCTAACTGCAAGACTGCGCGAGCACCTGATACTAACCGGAAACACAACCGACAACCAGTACGGGTTCAAAAGAGGTAAATCCACTGTAGATGCTATGTCCAGGGTGCGGAACATATTCCAAGAGGCAAACGGCAGAGGGTCACGCAACCTATTTGTTGGAATGTTAACCCTAGATGTGAAAAACGCATTCAATAGTGCCCCATGGGAAGGCATTCTAAATGCACTCGAAAGAAAAGGAACACCTGGGTACCTCCTGAATATCCTCGGGCAATACCTATCAAACATAAAGATCGTGCTAGATGAAGAAAGCGGACGACGGACCGTGGGAGTGAGCTGCGGAGTGCCTCAGGGCTCTGTCCTGGGACCGGATTTACGGAACGTTCTTTATGACGACCTCCTGAGGATGGACCTCCCACCTGATGTAGAGATCATCGCGTTCGCCGACGACGTAGCACTTGTGGCAACGGCGTCGGTACCCTTCCTACTGGAGGAAAGGCTGGAAGTAGCCCTCCAAGACGTAATGAACTGGATGAATAAAAATGGGCTGGAACTCGCGATGGAAAAGACGGAAGCCATCATGCTCACAAACCGTAACAAGCACAACATTATGACAGTCAGATGTGGACAGTATAGCTTTCCCTCAGTGAAATGTGTAAAATACCTCGGCGTGCAGCTCGACTCGAGACTGCACTTCAGCCAACACGGTGAACACGCTGCGGCAAGGGCCTCCGAGGCGTGCAGGCAGCTGATCCAGATTTTACCGAACCTCAGAGGACCCAGACAGCGGAGAAGAAAGGTGCTGGCCACGGTGGTCACCTCCCGGTTGCTATATGGAGCTCCCTTCTGGCTCCCCTCCATAACGGCCGAGGGAATGAAAAAGATGGAGACAGTGTATCGCAGGGTGATGCTGAGGGTAGCATGCTGCTACCGTACGGTGTCCCACGACGCAGCAGCGGTGGTGTCCGGCATGCCTCCTCTTAGGCTACTGGCCGAAGAGATGCAAAAAGCGTATCATGGGACTGACAGAGTCGTGGCAAGAGAACAACTGATGGAAAGCTGGAAACGTCAATGGGCCAATAGCGAGAAAGGCCGATGGACGCACAGGCTGATAAGGGACGTTGGCAAGTGGTACAACAGAAACCACGGCGACGTGTCTTTCCACCTCAGCCAGGTGTTATCAGGACATGGCTGTTTCAACGAGTACCTTTTACGAATCGGTAAAGTCAACACCGACGAATGTTCTCAGTGTGGGTCGGCACCCGACTCGCCGGAACACGCAATCTTTCAGTGCGACGCGTGGCACCATTGGCGAGTCGAGGTATGCGTCTACCTCGAGATCGAAGAGCTGTCTCCAGACAACCTGATCGAGACTATGCTAGAATCCAATGCAACTTGGCAAAGGATAAGCAGCTTGATCGGTAGGATAATGAGAACCAGAGAAGAGGAAGAGCGCCGCAGACAACATGCAGCGCTCGTACCTGGTTGAAGGACTCAACGAAGAAGCGATTCCATCTGGACTGCACGGGTCTCCAGAGCGGCGGGCGCAAGCCGGCTCAAGAAGAGGGTGATAGATGGCACGGGCGTCCAGAGCGGCGGGCGTAGGCCGGCTCAAGAAGAGGAGTTGAAGAGAAAGCAGTCATCAACGACAGTATGAATGCAGCTCAAAGAACTAGCATATAAATGTATTGTAGCCGGAATGGCAAACTTTGTAGGGCTACGTCCTTGTTTCTTTTTGTTGTTTTGTTATTATTGTTAGTTGTAAGAGCGTTAAATAAATTATTATTCTATTTCATTACGTGAGAATAAAAAACAATTACATATTAAACCAAAAACAATTTGTGTTTTGCATTCTTACAACATATTGATGAACATTGTTTATTTATATTTTATTATTCTATAGTACCACAGTACCAAACTACCTATAGTAGAAATATAAGTTATAACCATCCACACCTACCTAAAACTAGTAAAACTTATTATTATTTTTAAACATTTTTCATATTGTGCTAATAAATATGCCCAACAAAAGTTTGTTCCCGCATGCAAGTCTGGTTACTTAAGTAATACTAAAATATTAAAATCAGCAGGGAAAAATGTACCATCCATGTTCCATCCACCACAAGTAATATAGATAGTTATTGTTTTGTTTTAAATTATAATAATATTTTGTATGCTTAATTATGTACTGCAACATACCTCTAACAAAACTTAACACGTTGACCACCGAGAGGAACCCTGCGTCCACAAATTTTTTTATTATTCTACTGATCTTTATATAACATTTTTTTTTAATACAAAAGAAAACTATACAATACATATAAGTAGGTACAGTGGCGGCGCCAGGGGTGGGCCAGGGTGGGCCCGGGCCCACCTTAAAAAGTCTCCGGCCCCCCCTGTGGCCCACCCCAAAAATTAAATTTAATCATATTAGAATACTAAAAAATATCTCATGAATAAATCATGATTTATTAAAATTTAAAATATGAAAATATTAAGTCATAATATATGGCGTGAACAACATTTTGAATGGGTTGAAAACTATATGCACTATAATATGCTTTCAAGCCTCATAAATAACGTGTATTTTCCAGCGGCTGAATACGAAAATAATAAATTATTATTAAATATTCATTGGTATTGAGTGTAATTATGGGTTAGGGAGCATAAAAATCAAAAAGTGTTTACATGAATATATATTTTGTTAGCAAATAAATACTATTAATACAATACATGTTTACAAATCATTGTTTTAGTAAGTTTACACGATGAAGTGTAAAAAAAAATTGGAAGTTGACCCTCCCCCTCTCCCCTCTGCGAAATTGCCTGTCATCACTATTGTTTATATATATATATATATCAATATATCAAGTCAAAAATTTGGCCCTCCCTAAAAAATTTGGGCCCCAGCCTGGCCCACCTGGTATTAAAGTTCTGGCGCCGCCACTGAGTAGGTATATAACTTAATGCTAAAATAATTAAATATACAATTAATTATACAAAAAACCAATAATAAAGAACAGTCTGATTTTTAATACAAATTTAATGTTTGCATTATGTCATTTAAATCAAAATGTTCTCTAGGGTTCTTACATTCTAAGTTATCTCTTAGAGACTTTATATTTTTAATAAGAATAAAAAATACAATGTTTGAATATGTAGTCTAAATTATTTATTTATTAATAATCAACGGACATGCGCCCTTTAACAAGAAAAAAAAACATTACATAATAATTGACACATATTAAACTAATAACAAAGGGATAAATAAAAATATAACTAGAAAGACAAAAAAAAATAATAATAATAATAACAAAGACAAAATAAATATATAAAAAGCTACATAACAACTAATACAGGTATTCTGGTATAAACATGAAAGTTTTAAAATTATTTATCTTGCAGGACTTACTATCTGTATGGAATAATAAAATACAACGGAAAGATAGGAACTTATCGTTTACCAAGTGTAGTCATTATTTATAAACAAATTGAAGTTAATGAAATAAAAAGTGAAAACGATTTGCAACTATTACTTCAAAATGTAGATAGCTTTAAAATATGTAAAGGAGTTAATAATTGTCGCCAATCAAAATTGTGTGTTCGTTTCTTTGATCCTTCATAAACATCTTCGAGAATTGTAAGATGTTCTAACTGTGCATTAGAAAGAAGAAAACTGCAAAAAGTAAAATCCACAAATTTAACACCAGCTAAAAAACTTCAACGACTAACAAGAAAGTTAAAAACTAAACATCAACAAAAAACTAGAATTAAGAATAATGTAAGTTAATTATTTTTTAGAATAGATTTAAAAAAATATTTCCTATTTTATTAATTATCAGGGCTAGGATTTGTATGCAATAAAAAATTGTAAAATATGCATTTTATTTACCAAAATATGCAAAAATATGCATTTTAATTTTTATAAGATAAACACAAAAATATAGTTACAAAAAAAATATTTATTTATTGAAATACAGGTTGGCTGTAAATAAAAATCACAATAATTTTACACAATACTAATAAACGGTGATGCGAGCACAGCTGAACGGTCTGTACTACACTGTCTGTACTATAATTAATAATTATACATAAACATAATATCAAATATGTAAGTAAAATAATGACTTTACTTATATACTAGGTAATTACTAATTTTGCTAAATTACATTTACAATATTGATATTCTAATTTTAAAACTTTAAATTGAAATATAATATTAAAAGTTAGTTACTATAATATATTATATATTGTTGGTTGATTAATAATAAGGGTGTGTGTAACCTATAGCGCGTATCTACTCTAATATTAATAAATACTTTTAACAACTATTTTGTAAATATTTTAAACTTAATTGTCAAACTCTATGAACAAAGCTTTACTGATATTTGAAGTTAGTTAATATTATATGATAAAATAACCACATCCACAAAAATATAGTTAGGTCTAAATAAAAAAAAAATAGTGTTTACGAAACCGTTTCAAATCATTTTTTTAAAAATAATGATTAGGTACTGAAAAAAATGTTGTTTTTTTTTACAATACCTACTGATCGTAATAAAAAATACATACTATATTATGGCTATATTATATTGTTTTAATCGCAATTACCCGTCGTAGGACTAATGAGTTCGTTGATTTATGAATAATAATAATAATAATAGGTAATCATCGTCAACACACTCGCGGACGGGACAGACGTACTTAATAATATAATAATATGATTATGTAGTTGACGTATAAGTAACCATTTAGGTAACAGTTTATATACCGCTCTGCAGCTGCGATTATTCGAATAAGTTTAACTCCCGACGCGACTTTCGTTTCATCTTATTTCGGAGGGAGGAATTCAAGTTGGTAATGTTGGTTTATAATAATAATAATATATATACCTATTATTATCTATAGTTGTGTACTTGTGTGTGTGTGTGCGACCGTCGATGATTGTATGCGACATTGTATGTACAAGTAGGTTAATCTCGAGAGTACTTTGGGCCCGGGGGGGAGGGGGGTTGAGGGTATTTGATGTAGCAGCTTTGTTCGGCATATATAATGCGATTTCGTAAACTAAATTAATAATATACTTAACGACGTATTATAACATATTAGTCTGTTATTCTGCTCTTCGAGTGAGATTTTCGCGTTTGCTGATTTTCATCATCGCGATATCGCCGCGCCGCCTGCACGAGTGCAGTTTAAGCATTTGAAGCCGTTACGAAATTGTGTATTTTTAAATACATTTTTTTGGGAGTGGGCAGTCGGGTGGGGCGATAAAAAATTTCCGATCGAAAATACGCACAAAATTCATATAGAGACTAAATAAATACAATATTGTTATTTGGCTACATGTATGGTTTTATGTAGAACACTTTCTTATTTTATTATTATTTTAATAGGCACTTATAGACCCTTTTTAAAACAGTATTATAGACAATTTTTAATTTATTGAATTTACCATGATAAAATTCTTAATTTATAAGTTATAACTAATTAATTAATTAAATTGATAAAAATAAATATTGAAACTAATATTGAGAGGAGGATGTGGGGAAATACATATTTTTTGATATAGTTCAACATTTTAGATTTCTCTTTTCTTAATGCTTTACATACCACGTGAATAATAAACAACTATATAATTAATATAGATATCATATTTAGTAAGTACGCAATAGTGTAATACATATTATTAGTATAATATATCCCAACGAAAACACTATCCCAAACACCATGTAAAAAACGCTAAGTAGAGCCGATTTTTTGTATAGGTATCTACTGCTCGAGCGTTTTTTTTACACCGAGTTTGGGAGAGTGTTTTTGATAGTATATCACTCATATCACTCATATCCCCATATTTAGTAAGTGTGTAATATTGTAAAACATATTATTAGTATAATATTTAATATTATAAATACAATATAATAACTTAAGTAATGCATAAAATCTGTTTGAATAATATAATTATGAAAATTCGGTTCGTAAAATATTTAAAAAATAGTTAGGAAAATATATTTTATTATAATAAACAGAAAATTTCAGAATATTTAGTTTTTTTTTTAGACCACAACAACGAAGGCTATCCTAGTGAATATTATATGTGGAATTTAAATATAAAATAAAGAAGTTTTAAAATGTATATGCATGTTAATAATAGAGATTTTTAAAAGTTTTATTACAATATTAATTTTGGTTAGAAATTTAGGGTTTTTGTACTGGTGTTTTCATTGAAGGCTTCTATTCTAGGTGTCTGCCACAATGTTTTGTATGTTTTGAAGTGGGTTAAGACACAACGTCCGATTCGTGCTCCTTTAAAACTACTTCCTGTCGTCTTTTGAAGTATTGAAGAATTCGGTGGTTTGAACATTGAGGATAGTTGAGTAGTCTCCCAAAAAAAGTGTGTGATTGTTTACACTGTTTTTTTTTAATTTTCATTCGTAATAATAATAAGAATAAAAAAATGAATTTATTAAAAATTAAAAAAATGTTATGATAAATAACTATTAGGAAATAATATAATAATGTTCACATTTAAATAGTTGCTGGTAAAAATTTAAATGATGCTGATTTTAAAAAGTCATATCTCCAAATTTGGTTATCTGCTCTCGTAATAAATTGTTCCATTTCCAATGTTTCAGATTCTGAGTGAAACAATGAATGTATTGATTTAAAAATGATGTGTGTTTTTTTAATTTTTTAATTTATGTGACTGTCGTCACCTTTTAGGACAGTACAAATGCTTTGATTTTCTTCAACAGTATATTTTCTGATAGGAAAGTGAATCTAGTTGGTACTTTGGGGGGTCAAAAGTAAAAATGTTTCAGTAGTTTTCAAAAGCTCCTTGAAAAACAAAAGAAAAATTAAGGAAAAACGCTAATTTGTTCGCAAAATCTGTTTTCAAAAATATCGATTTTGGTCATTGGGGCAACTCAAAAGCAAATGATCTTAGGTACATGCAATTTCGACTGAATGTTTATATTAGCATTTTCTATACACCATAACATTTTCCAAATATTTTGATTTATTTTGAGCTGTTTACGGACATTTTCAGTTTCCATTTTTCTTATTATTTTAGATTCTGAGCGGAGCGATGAATGTATTGGTTTTACAATGATGTGTGTTTTTTTTTATATTTTTATATTTTTTTTTGTGTCTGTCATCACGTTTTAGGACAGTAAAAGTGCTTGGATTTTCTTCATCAGTAGCTTTTCTGATAGAAAAGTGAATCTAGTTGGTACTTTGGGGGGTCAAAAGTAAACATTTTCCAGTAGTTTTCACAAGCGCCGGGAAAAACAACATAAAAATTAAGGAAAAACGGGAATTTTTACGCAAAATCGATTTTCCAAAAAATCGAATTTGGTTTTTGGTGTAACTTTAAAACAAATGACCGTAGATACATGAAATTTTCACTGGTTGTTTATATTTGCATTTTCTATACACGATAACATTTTCAAAATATTTTGAATTATTTTGAACTGTTTAGGGACATTTTCATTTTTCATTTTTTTTTAGTTATTTTTCTAGAAATATCAATAAAATTTTATTTGTTGGTTAAAAAAACTTGAAAATTTAATAGAAGGCTCCTAGTATATTGTTTCAAAGGCAGATGAAAAATATTAAAAATCGTTAGTCACAGTTTTTTTTTATAAGCATTTAAAGTTCAAAAATTGACAAAATATGGAAAAATCACGAAAATTAGCAAATTAAGAATTCGCAAAAATTTTTCTTTTTAAATCTATGATTTGAAAATGTAATACAAGATTACTCATAAGTCTGTCTACCTTTATCAATAAAAAAATCTCTACCCGACAGTCAAATTAAATTTTTATGAGCGTTTGAAATTCAAATTTTTACAACATTGGATGTTCACTCGATTTCTCATGTAGCGATTTCCTTATTTTGTTGTAATTCATAAACGAATAACTATAGATATATGAAAATTTCACTGAATGTTTATATTAGCATTTCCTATACACCATACAATTTTGAAAATATTTTGCCTCTTTTTGAGCTGTTTACGGACATTTTCAGTTTTAAATTTTTTTAGTTTTTTTTTTATAATTGTCAATAAAATTTTATTTGGTGGACCAAAAAGTCTGAAAATTGAATACAAGCTTTCTTATATATTGTTACAATATCAGTTGAAAAATTTTAAAAATACATAGGCACGATTTTTTTTATAAGCATTTAAAGTTGGAATTTTGACAAAATTTATCAAAATCTCGAAAATAATCAATCGTTGGAATTAAAAAATTATAAAATGTTCAGTTTTTATAACTAAAGTTAAAAGTTGAAAATTTAAAACAAAGATTCTCTTAAATAATTCATACTGTAACCAAAAAATATAAAAAATATATTAACACACTTATTTTTTACAGACATTTTAATTTCAAGTTTAGACAAAATTTCATATTTAAACCAAGAATTACGATTTTAGTTATTTTGTTGTGATTGTATAATATTATTCGTGGGTACTTGAAATTTCTAAAGTAATCTACTATATATATCTATGATAGTATCAGGGTTTGTTGTTGGTGTATAACGCGTTATAAGTACCTAATGGATATTGTGATATGATTAATTTGGAATTCATTATAGGTCAATTTTTTTTAATACCATAGATATGTATATAATATGTCTTTTACCTAGAAGGACATACCGTCTCCGCTCAGAACCGTTTTTCTTATACAATGATATTATATCATTGAATTCAAATTTAATACCATCCATTATACAATGACCCACTTGTAACCTACTGTACAGCAGAGCGACACCCACTTGCCCACCTTTTTTTTTTTGTTTTGTGTTATCTGTTTAAGAATCTGGTAAATTTGATAAATTGTTTGTGCCCTCTGTTTTATAATTCTTTAATGAGCTGTTAATCATTGTGAATGGTTTTTAGTGTTTAAGAATCTGGAGATTGTATTTTAACATTTTAATATGACGTGTTATTAATGTATAATTTATTCTAATTTTTTTTTTTTGTTTTCTAAAATGCAATTGCCTGAGGGGGAAAACACTCCCATTCAATTTTTTTTTTAGGAATTTAACCGTAGTTGAATTTTTTTTTACAGGCTTGAATATTGATAACCTGCAATTGTCCTCTGCATTATCAGTCTTTAATGATCTAATCATTGTCAATTTTTTTTTCTGTTTAAGATTCTGGACATTTTAGTTTGAACACTTTAATGTGTTTTCCTGATGTATTATTTCTTCTAAATTTTTTTGGGTTTTCTAAAATGCATTTGCCTGCGGGCGCCAACACTCCCATTCAATTTTTTTTTTAGGAATTTGACTCTAGTTACATTTCTTGTATAGACTTGAATATTGATAAAATGTTTTTGCCCTCTGTATTATAATTCTTTAATGAGTTGTTAATCATTATGAATGGTTGTTTCTGTTCAAGAATCTGGAACTTTTTAATATGACGTGTTACACTCAGCATGGTTAAGACGTTAACATTTGTTTTGCCATTTTGATCATTTCTCATTTAAATCATAAATTATAATATTATAATAATAGTTTTAATATATTTAAAAAAAAATGAAATACAAAATTAAGTTAACACGGCGCATTGTATAGGCAATGCGGCTACATCGGATTTCATTATTGTTTGTGCACCTCACATAGTTGCAACGACTTGACATCCGATAAACACTTCTTTATTAATGTGTAATCGTATTAAACACTTTATTCGGTTCAGTGGGTATGTTAAATTCTAGGAATCCGTTTTATGCAGAGCTAAAATTTCAGAATTAATGCATAAGCAGATCCCACGGATTCGTGTAGTCGGTTTAAAATGGAAAAATGTCTTCATTTTGTTTACAGGCATCTATGGTTGCCAGTATAAAATGTAGACCGTGTAATTGGATACTGCAAATAATATATAGTAAACATCTCTGCTCCCTAGTAACTGCTCCTTCCCCCCCCCCCCCATTGATGCGCCAATGGCTAGTGAACTAAGTATGACTCCATCCATAGTATATGGTTTAAGCTTAAGGTGTCAACAATAGAAGGATAACTTGATAATCAAACACTTAAGTTCGGCAAAAGACTCAGGATCTTTTTATTTAAAGTGTCTTAATAATCTGTATCTTCTTTGTAACATTGTCCTAACCAAGAACCTTGTTGTCTGCGTACATATCCAGGAGCACAGCTCTTTAAAAAACGATTAAATATTTAAACATGCATAATGCAAATAAACAAAAACACGCATAAATTGTGAATACAAAAATGATATTCACATAACAAGATGAGAACATTAAGGAAGTAAATAATAATTCATAATAAACATTTAAGAAATTAATATAATATTGAAAATAATATAATTTATTAAATAAATACTATTCATTCATTTCATTGTATTGATTAGTACATATTTGACACTTACTTCACATGATAGACCAGTATAACCTGCTGGACATTGGCACTCCTCAACAAATGCTACATAGTCATTTACACTTTTCATTGTTTGTGCAGAATCCATTTTTATGTGTTGTATGTTTGTTTCAGATTGTTGAGAAACATACTGACCCCTTTTGAGCAATCAATATAATATATTACATCAACAATTTAATGGAAAAAATATATTAATGGGATAGATACCTGATTAAAATATTTTCTACATTAGCTAAAACCATCATAACTTCTTCCCTGGTTGCTAGTCCATTAGAATAACTGTCTGTACTTTCTTTTTTCCAAACATCAGCAAATAATCTAGCTGATACAACTGTGTCTATGCCTACTGGTGTTTCCGGACCAAAGTACAGAAGTTTAACACCATTTCCCTAATGAAAATGTTAAGCATCATTCATTGTTCATTAAAACGTATGAATTAAAAATTAAATTCCTTACAATCAAAATAATGTCTGGTGTGAATGTAATTGGATCTCCGTTTCCCTCGTACCTAAGTATGTATGTTATGTATCCCCCATAAGATTTGAGCTGATTGCCTAAATAGCTTTCTGGGAATTTGAAGTATGGATATGTGTCTTCAGATTGCTTTGAAGTATTATTGACTGTAAACACTTGTAAAGCTTCATTTCCATTAACATTTATTTGATGAGCAGTAGAACTTGCTGATTGTAGTTCTACTCTAAATGAAGAAGCTTCTACATAAACATTAGCTATTCTAAGTTGATACAATGATGGTGTATACTAGAAGAAACAAAATATTAGATTTGATTAATCCGAATAAACCCAAAGTGAGATTTTCAAACCTGAATCTTGAAGAGTTTGGAGCTTCTGCAATTACTTGATATTCCAAAACAAAAACAGTTAATACAGTCATTTTGAGATAGAGCTACATCATTAAAGGTTCCTTTAGGACATGCGCTTGGTTGAACTAAATTAGGTCGTTTTACAACTAATATTATGTCTGGTACTGCTATCTCGGAACCATGTATATTGATACCTTCACAACTGTAAGCGCCTTGATCAGCTTCCTAAAATCCATAAAATAGGTGCACATAAGTTTAAACTAAGTATAAAACAAAATTGTATGCAATAATTTGTTTAACATTATAAACATTATACCTGAATATTAGGACAAGTGAGTGTACCAAGTCCATTAACACTAGTCATTTCACATTTTGTTGGAACATGGCCCCAGTTCAATCGCCATGATGTTTCTGGGATTGGTACACCAACAGCTTTGCATGTTGTTATGAACACTTCACCGATTTCAAGTGTTATCAAAGGAGGTGGTGTAGTTTGAAATTGTATAGAAACTAAATTAAAATTAAAATCATTAAAATAAAGTAGTGTGACCAATGTATACACATTATTCTACTTACGACAACCAATTTCATCACTTCCATCTGAACAATCACTTTGAGAATCACATTGGAATGATTTTGGAATGCACTCTTTATTTCTGCACTCAAATTCACTATACAAACAGCGAGAATCTATAAGGTGATAAAAAAATTGTCACATATAAATAATTATAATTTATAATTTTACAATATCTACCTAGGTACAGACATAGGTCGGTAGGTATATTACGTAAAAAAAATTATATATTTATTAATATTCATTACGCACCCGATACTCTTTGTTCACAGTTCTGTTCATCAAAATTATCACCGCAATCATCTTGACCATCACACACCCAAGTTTTGAGTATACATTTTTTATTACTACATCTAAACTCGTTGGGTTGACATCCAAACATATCTAAAAATGACAGTTATCAAAGTATAGGTATTAGTATTTTTAACCAAATGTTTAATTAAATCTAAACGTCCTGCAACGGGTTTCATCTGATCCATCTAAACAATCTATTTGACCGTCGCAAACTTTTGTCTTTAATATACATTGTTTATTGGAACACGTAGCTTCATTTAAACCACACGATACTATGGGCCGAACCGTTACATCAATCCCTGAAATACAGGGTGTCCCGTGAGGATTTACCTATTAGCCGTAGAGGGGGACTCGCCGCCCGAACAAAAACCGGTTTTTTGCCGTTTTACTTATTAATTAAAAAAATTATTAAAAATCAGGAAATTAATGAAATTAAAAAGTTGAAACGTCAATATTTTCAGAAAAATGAACTCTACAAAATGGCAATCTTCAATATTTTTTTAAATAATTAATTAAAAAAATATTTTTTTAACTTTTTTACCAAAACATAAAAAAAAAATAAAAAATTAGTTATTTGTAGTGCTTACCTCTGTGAGTCTTAATAAGAAAACAGAATTACGATATCTCTATTATTTCAGGAGATATCGCAATGAGTAAAACCTCACGGGACACCCTGTATAATTCATAAATATTGTATTAAATATTAAAACAATTAAAATATGAATGGGTGACATTTTTAATTGTATAAATTGTATACATAGGTAATACGAATACGCAGTGCCGGATTTATCTCTTCAGCCGCCCTAGCTGGCTATTAGGAAAATGCCGACGGACGACGGTCGATGACAAACAAAAATTGAAAAACAAAATAATTCCCAGAATAATAATAACCAGGGCTCGTAACTTCATGCACTAAAAAATGCATAAATAAGCATGCATTCATGCACTAAAAATTGTCAAAATATGCATTAAAATATGCACTTAAAAGTTCGAAAATATGAATTTATATGCCTTCACATTTTTAAATTATGAACTCAAAATATGCATTATGTAAAAAAAACATGACCAAATTTTAAAATAATAAGAATAAATCCATACATTTTAAAAGTATTTTATTCCTTTTTATTTTTATATATTTAACAGTCAAAATTAATAAAATAAAAAATAAAATTAATACTTGTGAAGTTCAAATAGCTTTGACCTATATAAATTTTAATTAGGTAGTCATTTTTGTCTAATTTGTGTACACCCTTATTCAGCACCAACAATGAAAACATTTGGAATTAAATATTAGGTTTTTCATTTTGAGATAATTTAGTAATATATATTTTATAAGTGTATTTTTTATGTTTTCCAACTTGAGAGGGCGCACTAGTAGACAAAATATGGCATAAAACCATGGTTTCGTAATTCAAGTAATACGGCTTATTAAAGTAGTTTACAGTAAAAATACCCATTATAAAAATTGTAGAGTAGAACTTTTTTTACAATCGTAAGAAGCCCGATTTTCGATATTTTTATTAATTAGTTACATAATTAATCAATAAAAAATTTAAAAAACCGTTATAATTTACCATGCGATATTGGACGATTGGAACAAGATATCAAAAATCGGAAGAAACTTTTCAAATATTTGTCTAAAAAATATTTTTATGAAATAATATGCACTAATGACTGTAAAAAATCGACTATATGCCAAATATGACTTTACACCCAAAACATGCGAAAACATGCACTATCAAACTTCATATTATTATTACTATTGTTATGAAACGGATTTGTATCACAGTTAGCATGTTTTCCTGTGTAGCAAAAAAAACATGCAGATGCATGAACTTACGAGCCCTGATAATAACGTTCGATTCCTATAAAATACTAAAAATAGTACTTTTGATTAGAGACGTCGGATCTATATGTCCCAACGGTCGACGTGGCCAGGAAAGCGCTAATAAAAGAGTAAAATAATTTTTTGTCTGTTTATAGAGATGAAAAAAGAGAAAAAATTTGCCGCCCTAGGCTACAGCCTAGTTAGCCTAATGGTAAATCCGGCACTGCGAATACGAATGTCAAGCATACATTAAAATATATGTAATTATTAATGTAGTTATCAATTAATAATATTCCATATGTATACATGATAGTATTATTAACATTTTACATTACAAATAACGTAAATAGGTAGGTATATTTAATTAATACAAATATACAATAGATGTACATTATTTCATAAACGTACCTACCTATATATATATTTATAATTTCGACACCTACTAAACGATTTTAAAATAACAGAATATTCTACTTACATTTAGATCAAATACAAACGTCAGCAAAGTAAAAAATGAAACTTTATAGTAATACACATAATAAAACCAATATATTTATCGTGTATTTCGGCTCAATTATGTACATACCTGAGTAGCGATTAATATTAAAATTTCTTGTTGCAGGTAAACCAAATTTCCATTTATTATTTATAATTGGTATTATATGTTTATGTTTCCTTGCAGCTTGTATTAGGTCGGTGTTTCCGAATTGCGGACAAAGTGACAAAAAACATGTGAGTTGCGGACGAAATCTAAAAAGGTAACATACGAATTGCGGACACAAATGTAAGATACTAATTGCGGATAATGTTACAATATTCACGTGGTGAAATCAGTAGAATATCATATATACAGGCTGTTTTGAAAAGTATGACGATAATTAATAATGACTGGTTTCTTCTATGCCGGGCCTCCATAGCAATTAAGTATTAACCAAAACAATAATCCTTGAACAACAATAAAGAGAACGACGTAACATTAAGCAATGATATATTGACTTGGATATATTAGATTAATAGAAATAATATGTATCAATATAAAATATAATCATTAGTCATTACATACTTGACTAAGACTGTGGAAGTCGGAAGTATTCTTATAAATAAATTTTTAATTACAGACTGTCTTAATAACTGAAAAATAACCAATAAGCACGCTAATAAGTAATAACTAATAAGTAAGTAATATCACATTATCACATCAACAAAAACATTCAAACAAAATAATATTCAAATTTTTAAGTCTATAAATACCATAGAGTTACTCTATGATAGAGATGGGCGCAAAATCACGTCGCCGTTACTTTGTCACCGCGACAACCGTGTCGCTGTTAGTCACTGCGACAATTGCCCAAAATTAATGGTGACCAGCGACTTTGGTGACTAGACAGTGACTACTGAGTACTGACTTTAGTGACTGTGTTTTTAGAGGTTGGCACTGGTGTTAGATTAGTGTGAAACAGGCTGTTGTCGCGGTGACAAACTAAACAGCGACGTGATTTTACTCTAGCCTATGATGGTTATTACTTATTGGTCACTGAGTAACTTAAATATATTTTGCGCAAAACAAATGGTGACCAGTCACCATTAAAAGTCACGGTGACTTTAAAGTAGCCGTCACCATTGTCACGGTGACCAAATTTTGTCACTGTTAACCATCTCTACTAGAGATGGGCGCAAAATCACGTCGCCGTTACTTTGTCACCGCGACAACCGTGTCGCTGTTAGTCACTGCGACAATTGCCCAAAATTAATGGTGACCAGCGACTTTGGTGACTAGACAGTGACTACTGAGTACTGACTTTAGTGACTGTGTTTTTAGAGGTTGGCACTGGTGTTAGATTAGTGTGAAACAGGCTGTTGTCGCGGTGACAAACTAAACAGCGACGTGATTTTACTCTAGCCTATGATGGTTATTGGTCACTGAGTAACTTAAATATATTTTGCGCAAAACAAATGGTGACCAGTCACCATTAAAAGTCACGGTGACTTTAAAGTAGCCGTCACCATTGTCACGGTGACCAAATTTTGTCACTGTTAACCATCTCTACTCTATGATAAATACCGTGCTTATCACTAAGATAGTAATAATTGTTATCAAATGAATAACAACAACATATTATTCAACATAATATAATTTCAATGTTCGCCACTTCGCCGACTTTAGTTGAATAATTTGAATCATTCGATTAGGTATTTTAAATTTGAACGGAAATCGTAAATACAGACTACCTACTATACATTCGTACAGTGTTGTATTCATACGTTTTAGTAAAAAGTTGCCATGCATAAGTGTATTCTTTTTAGTAAAACATCCAAAGTATCGCCTCGCCACATAACCTTAATTTTCATTTGTAAGTATTATTTTCTAGTTGTACTGATTATATTTCTTAATAATATGGTGCCAGTCTAATTTGTTCAAAAATATAGATCTCCATAAAATGAAAATAGAAGGAAATAAATTTTCAAATTAAATGATTACCCAATTTCTATCTGGAGCAAAATCTGCGGTAATCATTTCACAATCAGTAATTATAAACAAAGCTCAGTATATAGTAGATATTATTATGGCCAGAGGCTGTCAAAAAACATAATCCAAACCGCATATCTGTTTAGAGGAGTAAAATAAACAATATAAAATAAATTTTAATAATTTATAGCAACACTGGTACCACTCTGAGCACGACTAGTAAATCATCTAAGAGGTAAAATCTTTTAATATTGAATTATTTTAATATTAATTAGGTAAGTATTCAGATATTTTTTACAACTTTATATTTTCAGAAAATTATATTTCTCCAACGATGAGTTTGAAGAAAATGAACAGACAAATAAAAGATTTGGAGACGTTACAGTCGATGATTTTAATTCACTCAGAAAAGCCTTAGAAACTTAATAATGTCTAATTCACACACACTTAAATAAGTATATTACTCAAGTTCCGATTTTAAATGTTTGCCAAAGCCATAAGTTACTTAGTCGTTTATCGTTTTTAGTTCATACAGTGGATTATACTTATTATGGTTTTCAAAACTGAAATATATGATATACCACATACAAGGAACTAGGAAGTCAAGCCAATGTGTTGACAATTTTCAGTCGTTGACTTTCTTGAAGATAATTATGTACATACCATATTGGAGTGAGTTATGAAACTTAAAGGTGAGAATATTGTTTATAGGATTTTATTTTAAAGCTATTTTACTAACTAACGTACGCACCTGTTCACGGGACACATTGTATAATATCTAATTGTGTGCGTG